CGTGCCAAGTTTGATTCTGTATTTGGGAAGAAGCACCTGCCATGGGTGTGAACATATTCTCCTCGGGAAAGAAAGGGCGATCAAAATATTATATGAGAATGTATTCTAAGAAGCGACGCGTTATATTACAACATAATTTTATGTATATGCTGACTACGTTAATAGAGGTCCCGATCATATTAGTATTTGACCGCTTCCAACAGAGTTTGTTTTGTGATTTTGTGCGTCCATTTAACGAGAACGCAGAGACAATGCAGAAATTGGTGTGAAGGAATCTGGCTGTCATCCAAATCATTATCGGATCTATCGGCAGTTAACCACCACTTTCACTAATAGATGTCCATTCCCCTTTCATGGTCAGTATGATGACCTCGTGCTCTTCATATCCCATCAAACACGCAGATCAAACACACACGCGCAAACGGACACACATTTGCCGCATTCATCGCTGTTTACAATCCAGGAACAGGCTCCGGTATTCAACGATTCTTCTGGCATGTTTCCTTAGGTGATGTAGTGTAATAGAAAACTAGAAGGTGGCAAGATAAGCATTCTATGAACTACCATCTTCGCGCATTTTGTGATTTGCCATAATTACAGGTTTTAAAGCGGGGAGCAATTATTGCAACGTAATAGTTTACATATTCGTATGAATTGGACATGCTACAAAAAGTCACTCAATGTTTGTTAACATTCAGCGTATGTGTGTATGTATGAATGTAAGTCCGTCCTTCCGTCTGTCCGTCCGTTCGTGGTCAACGGGAATACCTTAACTGTTCAGAAGTTGTTATTCAAAATTGATGCACCTAAATCCATTTAAACGAACTCGAGGTCCTACAAGTTGAAAACGGATGTTTTGATTTGGGGGGTTCTTTGCAAGAGGTCTCAACATTTTCATGATTTTCTCAAAAATGTTTCCACTTTTTTTCGACACTTTGTCCTCGGATAGCGTAGAAAACACTTAAAAATGGTGTAGGCTTCGTTTTTGTTCAAAGCTGAATTTTTGAAAAATTTGTTGAATTTAATATTATTTTTAGTTCTACTATGGATTTTAAAATTAGTTCTTGTAAACATTTTCGAAAATATGAATAGTTTTTCTGTAATTTTTTTGTGGAATATAGGCAGTTTTAAACAATTACTTTCTCAAAGCGGCTCCAATTTCATTTCTTTAAATTTTCCACGTATCTAGCAAAGGACGATAAAAACATTGATGCCTTTCCAGTGTTCGACGAACTGTGTTTTCGAAAATATCAAGAAATTAACATTGCCATAGTGCAATATTGATGGATTTTTTTAAAATAATATCTATTTTAAAAATTAGATAATTAAAGGTCATGTACATTTTTTTGAAAAACCGAATAGCTCTCGACTAATGTTTGCTTGAAGGTAATGCAGTGTGTAAAGGAAACTTTTTCTCAAAATCACCTCCAATTTTTTCTTTACAGTTTTTCGGCGCGTAGAGCAAAGGAGGCTTAAAATGATGCAGGCATAATTTTAAACGAGCTCTCTGAATTTTCGTAAATTACGAAAGTTAAAAATAATGCAAGGAAGTATGTGTTGTTTTAGCACCACTCATGCTAATAGATTTCTGATGAGGAATGACTTCCATCGTTCTGCTCGCATCTTTGTACTATATTGATTAATCGATCGACTGGTGATTCTGGGCGTGTCAATTGTTAAGGTTATTTGGTCCTGTAAGTGTAGTGCATGTTTTGCTCGAGCTGTGGTAGTGGTGATCTTCCCCTGCTGGATGGTGAGATCCGGTGCCGACCTACCATCGGCTTGCAGGATTTTCTCCAACCTGGTATCTCCCACCAGCAGGTCAACGCCCCAGCCGGGACAAGCTGTAAGCTGTAGTCTGGTCTCCTGGAATGTATGGTAGTGTAACGCATGTAAGTGTGAGTATAAGGAATGGGAAGGAAATATTGCGCATAATACATAATGTCATAAATGGCTCCGTGGCCGTTGTTAAAGTACTGCCCCGGCAGTCAGCTGTTATTGGTCGAAGAAACCACAGAAAAATACCGATCAGAGCAGCCGCTCGCTAGAATTCTCCATCCAGACAGCGGCACAACTCGACTCAGCTACAGTCACAAAAATCCTGCCACCTTAGGGACTCGAACCTAGGACCTCCCGCTCAGAGGCACTAAAGTAACATCTTTTGATGCCCTGCGCCCCATCTCTCGGCATTTCTAGTAGAGTTGTTGGTAATGCTGAACAGACGCACGAGAAAATATTTTGTTAAGTAAGGTAATTACTTAATACGCCTGGTTATATTGTGATTGAATACTGAATAATATTACAATGTAAATACATGCATACATACGCATAGAATGAGTTTTCAATCCACAATCCAAACAGAGTCATGAAATGCCATTGAAACATCAACATTTCTTTGTCTTGTTAGCCACACAGTCACCGTAAACCTTTTTGCTAGGAAAAATGCGGAAATGTGATAGAAGGGTTATGTATAGCGGCAGCAATATACGTTATTTGGAATGTTCGGAGCATGTGTTTCTGCAGTATATCAATAAACAATCTCTAAGGACTCTTGCGTGAGATTACTAACTTTGGAAAAGCTATTATGGATTGCGTGTTTGCCATGGAGAGCGTGTGAATCACGCATAACATGCAAAGAAAAGATTTGTTGCGAGATTTGAAGCCGTGCCTTTTTGAACTATTGTGACTCCGTTTCACTCCACGAATATTTGGGCTCAGATGTAAATTTACTGGAAAAATGTAGACCGTTCTTGTTAGGAAATATCAGTTTATTGCAACTGTAGAAAAATATATTTAAGTTACAAAATAAATATTTCCTGTGATTAGCAAAATATTAAATGGCAGTTCGTTGACAAACGCTTATTTTACTTTATTTCCAATGAAGTGAGTTTTCAGTGAAACATTTTCGGAAAAGTTTTTAGTAGGTCTAAAAATACTTTTACATTGATATTATGCTAAACAATGAATTCGAGCCAGCCAGAATGAACTTCGTAATTAATTATTTCGGAATACAGACGTTTCTGGGAAATTTAAATTTTTATTCCTATATCAAGTACTGTACTTTATTCTTCATTTTAGAACTACTCTCGTCCGACAAACACGACCGAAAGTTGGTGAAACCTCTCTGCAACGACATAGAATTTGTAGCCCGAAAGTTTGCTGGAATTTGGCATTCTAACGGATTTTTAGTACCACCAAATTAGGGAAACGGAAGAGAGGCATTGACTGCGGTAAAGTCTTCAAGTCACTGTTGCTGAGTGAGATTTTCCAGGAATACTAAAGTTAGTGTGTGGGCGAATGCCAGATGAGTGCTTCCTTTCCTCTTTGAATAGACAATAGACCCATCCGTAAAGAAATGTTTAGCATACCTATTCATTGAACATTCCCAAACATTCAATATTGGGTGAGAGAGCTCCAAAAAAATTCTTCTGTTCGGATCCAGTCCAGTCGATCTGTTCTGTGATCTGTTCAACATTTGATTCCATTATATTTCACTTTCATCTTCAACCTCACATTTACTTTCACCTCCACATTCACTTTCACGCTAATTTTCGTTGCTAGATTTTCTGTCGTGCCCACCTATCATGTACATTCTCTCTTACATTCTCTTTTACTTTCGTCTCGACCAGCGTCTTCATCCTCTTCTCGGTCAGCGACACATCCACCTTCACGTTCACATATTCCGTCGCCCCCGCGTCCACCGACAGCACCACCGCCGGCTGTGAGTGCTCCACCCCCGACTCAGATGAAAGGCCAGACCCTAACGAGCATTGCCGGATCACAATCGACGTTGAATCGCGCGCTCTATGCGGATGGCTCCGAATGCTGCCCAGTAATGAATGACGGGCCCATCGTGCATTCCAAATGCGCGACCGAGGCGAGCCATCGGCCGCCCCCCTTCTCCCTACCCTCGTCCGCCCCCGCCCTCG